GGGGTGGTCTTATACTTGCGTGGGAAAATATTTCTCAATTACGTAACATATTATGCCACTTGTTTATTGTTAGCAGTACTAGTATTGCAATTAGTGCTGCTATACCGGTATCATGCTTCTTGAAGTTGTCTGGAAGAACGGCAGGCAGCGCGAAGGAAACTCATTTCATTTTCATTTTTTCATATACGCGCCTCGCGGAGCAGGAGGAACAGTCATGAGTTGCCGAGTAAGTTTAACCCGGTGGGTGTTTTACGGAATGATTAATTAACGCGAGGAAAGTCGCGTGAGTCGTGAACAAGTATATATATGTACTTATGTATGTACATATGTAAAATACGAATAATTCCACATATCCATGTAACATGCGATACCCGAATGGTGAAAAAGTTGGGTGCGCCCTGTTGGAAAACTATTGAGAACGAAGGAAAGGAACGGAGAGAGCCGTAAATGAGAAATGGGTACAACCGGGCGTATTATACGTTAAAGTACATTAAAGTATTCGCATGCTGTACCTGTGTGACGTAGGCGCGTCCACTGTACGGATAGACATACGGAGAGTGGCTTTAACGTTTTCCCTCGGGCGATCGAGAGGGACGCGAATCCGAATTAGAGCGCGTAATAGAAAAATCAGAGCCCGCAGGCTCGCGAGGTTATATCCACGCACGCGTCCGGATAAAAGCCATAATTTAATTGCGTTATTCCATATCGATGCGTGGCCGTAGTACAGGACCACGTGCACGAGGACTGGAACGAGCATCGGTCTCGTGACGTGTTCGTTACGTTTCCATACGAGGACGAGTCGCGTTTTCCGATTCAACCTCTATTGGCTCTCGTGGCACGATTGACGATACAGGGTAGCGAGAGAAAGAGAGACAGACACGGAGAGAAATGGTGTAGAGCGAGAGAGACAGAGTACGATAAACGAAAACGAGAATTGTGCGTCCCGTTTTCGATGGTTGGTCCGATAGTGCTATAATTGGGAATATTGCACGGAATATTTGACAAGCGAGGGTTTGCTGGTAGCGAGCTAGAAAAAAAAGGGGTTGATTAGCAGAGGACAAAGATAAATTCGAACGGACAAAAAAAAAGGTAAAGAGAAAATAAATAGAATCGCTCGAAGAATGATAACACGATTATCGTTTCGTATGTATTAGAACGAACTTTTTTTTTTTATTTACACGAAAAACATGCATTGAGCTTTCGCGTATAGAATGCGAAGGGAGGGGGTGGTGGAATGGCGAAGAGTCGATGGGGGTATTATCGCGCGATTGCGTTGAATAAAATTGATCGAAATAATATTAAGCCATGATTCTTCAGTATCACGCACGCTTGCTTATCGATCGCGCGTGTCTCGTAAAGCCCTTAGGCGCGTGTGTCACGCACCGAGGGAGAAAAAAAGTGTCAACACGCACGCTGAACGACTCTTTGCAATTGTATTGGTATATGCCCACTTGTATTATGTGTTATATGTTTATGTATATTTTTTCTTGTATATACGCATTATATAAGGGTACCTTTGAACTTTAGCTTCCGAGCTCGCGGCCTGTAATGTCCGACCCAGCCTGGGATTACGTAGTCGGGATGATAACGCGTCGGAGCCGGGACGAGAAAAGTTTGGGAGGGACGTGAAATAATTTCCGAGGTAACCCCCTCAGGAACTCGAGGAACTCCGCGGGTGGTATACGACGTAGGTTCGCTCTAGGGGAGGTTGCACCAGGGTATACCCGGGTTAATATAACGTCGAGAAAGCCCGTTTTCTCTTCGTCTACTACAGCCCCCTACCGACTTGGCCAGCGGTTGTATTTCAAGAAGCGTCGCGACGCCGCAAGGTAGTTCACCCCCCCTCCCCCTCCCCCTCCCGAAATTCACGAAACAAATCTTTGTTACTCGGGAGTGTCTCGGCTACACTCGGAATCCCCGTCGTTAATTATATCGTTAATGAATCTCAATTAAGATCAGCACTGAAATTCAGCAGAAGCTGGGTACAACGCCCAGCGTCGGGACGTCCAGCGTCGCTGTGTGCAGCAGACGCCTAAGGTAGGACGTCGCGTTAAAAAACACTGAGTTTCCTTTTATAATGGTAACTACGCGACGGATCTCGGTCGCAAGTTGGAAACTCGTCGTAACTCCTGGTATTTTCCGCGGAGTCTGATTGGCTGGTAATCGTCGGTTATTATCCCTTTGTCGCTGCTTGAAAACTCCTGGAGGGTGGTCTAGTTCGTTATATTACGTTCTTTACGAGTAAATCCAAATGCACGGCTCTCCGGGCATGAAACTTTTTCATTCCTGACCAACTTCATTTGGACTTTGTGAATTGTCTGGTTAATTAGCATGTGGTCTAGCTGAAGTCTAGCTGAAGTCAGACGGGGATGATTGCATACCAAGTCAGACGAACGTCGTCCCCCTTGCGTCTCACCCTATCATCAAAGACTCCGCGCATACTTTCCCTGGCCTTGCAAATCCCCTTAGCTCGGAAATTTTCGAGTAAATCGAGTTAGCCCTGATCGCACCCTGTTTTCTTTTTTTTCTCTTTCCAACGAAAAACCCTGCGAAGCCTCAAAAGAATTGAAACCCGGTAAAAATGAGCAAACACACCCTGGGCCCTGCCATCCTCCGTCCTGCTGCCTAACCTCCTACCGCCTGCTAGCAATATGTGTAGCCTTTACCTTCCCCTTGACACCAGCCTTACACGTGGCAACGTTTGCGTTTCGCATTTGTCGGTGCGTA